ATTTCTGGACTACAATTCTATACATGGAATTGTGCCATATCCCAAATTTGGGTTCTAGAGTATATTTTAATCTGATATATACATATTATTTATAGTATTCTTTTAATGTATTGTTTGTTATGTATAGTTTTTCTTTTTCTTTTTATTGATTCCAATTATCAAATATTTTTGCAGTTCAATAGAGAAAAGTTTTGGTTGGAAACTGGATATGATATATCCTACAGTATTCTAAGATGTTAATGGTATATTAGAATATATTAGCTATATGATACTTTAGATCTGCTGATTGTTTGAGATTTGTTAGTTATCTACCCATATTTTTCTGCTTATACTGTTTTTTCTTTTTTCCCCATATTTTCTATACTCTTTTAAATGTGTGTTTCTATCAGCATTGTTTATTTTCCTTTTTTCTTGAAATTATAATAAGTAAGTAAGTAAGTAAATGTTACACAGGCTTCTGGAAGCTGTGAGTGAGAGTGAGTTGCAGTTACTGGTCTTTTAACCATTATTCAACTCTGATCTCAGTCAGTAATCTAATTGTTGAAACAGTAGTCCCCTAGTGGGAATGGCCCAGTAGGGAAGATATTGCAAAATGGTGATTCCAAACCCCATTTCCAGAACAAGATAATCCAGCAGAATACCATGGTTGGTATGTTCTAGACCTCTGTCAAAAGGTTCAGGAGAACTAGAAGGGTCATACTTCCCTCATTCAGTTTCTAGCTCAGGTCATCCACAAGAGTAATTGAAGCAGTCTCAGTACTATAACCTGGCCAAAAGCCCAGCTTAAATCATTTCAGATAATCAGTATCCCTCAGGTGCATTTGGAGTTGCAAGCCACCTTTTTCTTTTTATATATATTTTATTAAACAAGTTTTTCCAGAGAGTAAAAACAATAAAAAAATTAAATTAAAGAGAAGATAAATAGAAAGGTAATAGAAAAGTAAAAAAGAAATAAAAAGAGATGGAAAAGACAGAAAAAGAAAAAAAATAATAAGAAATAATAAAGAAGTGGCTTCCAATCTTCTTAACAGCAGTTATAAGTACATTTATATTTTACCCTCTCTTTCTAAGGTTACCTCAAAGTTTCCTTCTTTCCATAATCTTCCCTTTTTAATCATCAAATCCATAAATCATCAGTTCATTTTTTTCTTTTTTCCGCAACATTCAACATTTCAGAGTCATTTCAGTGAGATGGGCGGTGACAAATTTGATAAATAAATAAGTAGTACATAAGGGGTTTCCAGTCACTAATGGACATGGAACAGTTCTCCATGTTCTTGTTCTAACTTGGTCTCGATAGGTTAACCATTTCTCTTTACCTGCTGTTTCATTCCTATAAAATGCTTCTTGTGTTGAGATCCATAAAGGCATTTTATATATAGTAGTTGATCTTTCTCTAAGCAAACAAGTTAATTTTGCATTTCTGCTAGTTCTGTCATCTTCATCAACCATTCCTCCATTGTGGGTATTTCAGAATCTTTCCATTTTTGTGCATGTAGTTGTCTTGCAGCAGTGATCATATATAAAAATAATCTTCCATGGCTTTTTTCTAGTTGTCTGTCCATTAATCACAAAAAAAAAAAAAGTTCTGGTTTCAGTTGAATCTTAGTCTTTAAAATTCTTTGTATCAGTATGTATATTTGAACCCAAAATTTTCTGGCTTTTTTACAAGTCCACCAAACATGATAAATGACCTTTCATGTTGTCCACATTTCCAACATAAATTTGAGGTACCTTTATTACATTCTAGATAATTTTTCTGGAGTCATATACCAATGGTACATCATTTTGTAAATATTTTCTTTTAGGTTGTAACATAATGTGAATTTCAATCCTTTCAACCACATGTTTTCCCACTGTTCTAACAATATGTTATATCCAACATTCTTAGCCCATTTTATCATACATTCTTTCACTTGTTGCCCTCCATTTCAAATTTCAGCAAGAGTTTATACATTTTGACAATTACATGTTCATCATTTGTGCATAATTCAACCTCAAATTCTGTCTTTTGTTGCTCAATTCCAAATGTCCTGTTATCTACCTTCAGTCTTTCTCTTAGCTATGCATACAGAAACCATTGAAAACTAAATCCTTCTGCAGCCACTTGTTCTCTTGATTTCACCTTATATTCTCCATGTTCTTGTTCTAACTTGGTCTTGATAGGTTAACCATTTCTCTTTACCTGCTGTTTCATTCCTATAAAATGCTTCTTGTGTTGAGATCCATAAAGGCATTTTTGGCAATAGATATGGGGTTATATCTATTCCGTATTCTGAATACGGCAAGCCGCCTTTTTCTTGATAACCTTTTCAAGAAATGGGATGAGAAAATTGAAGAATTCCTTTAATTGCACAGATCTTCCAGCTCAAGGAAAGGGTTCTGTAGAGATAACTACTTCTTTGTGCAGGTGCGAATGTATTCAACCATCAAAGGAGTGTTATCTATTTATTTATTTATTTATTAATCATATTTATATAGCTGCCCATCTCACAAAACATGATTCTGGGTGGCATACAATAAGAAACAAACCATAAAATAAATAATATTAAAAACATTCTATAATTAAAAACATCCATAAGTATTTACTATTAACAGATTAGTAGAAAGGATTTATGTTATAGGCAACGCAGCCTATAATTATGCAATCAGTCCCATAGGGCAAGTAAATAATGTCTCCTGTCCATTCTTGAGATTTTCAAGCTGAAAAAATAAAATATCAGGACAAATTGAAGTCCCAGCTATTAAACTGAACTGCCCACTCTCTGAAGCACTGAAACAGCTTTCCAAAGCAAATGTTTAAAGCTTGTACATGGCCTGATACACAGTATCTTCTTGAAGATATTTTAAAATACCTTAGCATGAATCTTTTTCCTGTTCAGCTTGTTTGTCTATCTTCATTAAGAGAGTATAAGGCAGCTGTGAGTTTTATATTGCATATCTTAGCAGAATCATATTTTATTGTTAAGTGAAGGAGAATAAATGTTAAAACTGATATTAAATGAGCAAGATCATACTGGGAGCATTTAATGCTTTCTGTTTGCATTCAAAATGCATTGATAAAAGAGACTTAGGTGCCAACTTACTAACATGATTGTGTTGATGGTTGTCAGAGAATAGAAGAGTTTAACTTCCAAGAATGTATGCCAACTATTGAAAATAACTTCTGCAGAATTCAGTGTTTCAGGGATGTTGAGCTAATGCAAGTTTTGCCGAACATCTTTGAAAACAAAAACAGTGCTCAAAAGTATGTATTCATAACTTGTGTTTTCATAATGTTACTGGCAAGGCAGCAACACTGTACTTTGATATCCATTTGAAATTTAAATGAAATCACTAGCATTAGCTTGTTGGTAAATGTGTGCAGAATTGTGGCCAAGAAAAAAACAACAGACTTCTATATTCTGTGCCTGTTCTTCTGGCGGGTAGGCAGCTTGTCTCCCAACTTAACATGTGCCTTCCCAAATCATTAGACAAAATAACTCTGAATCTTGGCCCTGGTTCGGTCAAGCAGAGATTCATTTGAAAGTGCTGGCAGAGCTGTAGTTTAAATATTAATTAACATTTGTTTAGCATATAAAAAGTTATGGGTACATTAACATATTACTGCAAAGTTAACATAGGTTAGAATTAGGTTGCATATATGAGGATTTTTAAAATAGTATTTTGTAATGTGTTACTTCTTGTTCTTTCATTCATCAGGAGACAGATTAAAGTTGTTTGGCAGAAAATTTGTCCTCAGTTTCTTGTTCTCTGTGCCAGGAGTCCTTGGATTCTGGACTGAATACATTTTATACAAAAGATAAAATTGATTTCATAAATCCCTGTTCTCTTCCAAAACATATTTCCTCCACTCTATTAGTAGAAACTGTGAAGTTGATAGATGTGAGTCCAGAAATCTTTGTCCAGTCTGCGGTCTGTTAGCCAGGAGGGTAAATGGTATCACAGAAGAGAGTGAAAGTAGGCACTCGTTTCCACTCATATTTTGATTATCTGCATACTTGATTGGTCCTTAGCATTGCTTTGGCACAGCTGCATTTTGCAGTTTGTAAACGTGTAAAAGATAAATTGTGTGCACTGAAATTGTGCCACAAAGAACAAAAAAGGCATTATGACGACTTTTTTTCTGACAGCAGAGAATGGTAATGAAGAGCTCATTTTGTTTTGTAAAATTAGTGGAAAGATGGCCTTGAACTTTCCTTTAACAGAAATGATGAAGTGGTCACTTGGGTAACAATAACCAAACTTGGTTGAATCTACAAATAAAAAGCAGAAGACGCATTGCTGATTTTCCTATTCTATACTGAAAAATAAGTTATCTTAAATGGAACCAATCAAGACATTGGACTAAGCTAGTTGCCAATGTGCTTCCTATTTTATCGAAACTCTTTCAGCATAACTAAATCATTTACACTAGGTTTTGCTTTTTACGATCCTTTGACATTCCCAATTTTAATTTAAATGGGGGGGGGAGCAATCATGATGTTTCTGCAAAACTCATTTCTTCTTACTGTAACTCTCTATATCTTTTTAATTATTTATCATGCCATAGGAATAAGAATTGGAATTTTAATATAGTAGACGATAGGAAATTACCACTAAATCATGTGGTTTGCTAGTGATTTAGGCAAGTTACCATGTTGCAGTTTGAACTACTGTGCTGAATTGTTATCAGGATACTATGAAAGGCATTACAATTATTCAAGACTCTGCACACTAAAAGGTGTTATGGAAACTGATAGTGACTCCCAGTTGCTGCCTATGTTCTACAGATATATGCCGAGGGTTCAAGAGAAAACTTGATCCTCTTAGAGCTGTTTTGAAATGACAGCTGTTTGTAGATACTTTTAGCATACACTTGCTATCTATATCTTTGAAATGAATTGCACTGGCATGCACGTTTTCCCCACCCTCTGTATCATGCCAGCCTGTGGAAGGAGGGAGGGAGGGACATAGAAAGAAAGAGGCAGTTACCATTCATTATTATTGCTTTAATGCAGGCATATAGTTATGGAATTTTCTGCATGAAGACTACCACAAAATCTTACCTACCTGGGGCCAAGGAAATTTGTGGTAAGCAACTTTTATGGGTTTGTGTGTGTGTGTGTGTGTGTATGCTTAGAAATATAGTTGGCCAACAATACAGTAGCAGTTTTGAATGCTACAACACCACTCCTATTCAGTGAAAATGTTAACATCAGACTTACATGTAGTTTCAAAATACTTTGCTTTAAGCAGCATTCTATTACTTTCAGCATGGTATCAGTATTTAAAATCCTATCCTAGTTGTATTTCTCTCACACACACACATCTAGTCATGAGACTTTTCTTTTTAAAACAAGTGGTAAGATTTCTGCTGTTTAATTTGTCTCTAGCTTTGTAATGAAGTCAGAAATGTCTGCAAATTGAAAACTGATAGAACTGAATGAAGTATGGCTGGAATCTATTGTAGGATTGCCTGCTTATGTCTCTCTGTATTACGGTGTATCCAGTTCACAGTGGGAATATAACAGCTGCATTTCATGGTACTGTAGCACACATTCCACTAGAAAGATGGCTTATAGCCAGAAAAGCACATGGCATATGCACTATCAAAAAATAATGGATCTCCAAAGTGAATATATTTTCCTACATGCTTTGTATTTTCTGCAGTAGAATGTGAGAATTTAGTAGGTAGCTATACAGTCATAATTTCATGACCAATTGATTATTCCAATTAAGCTGAAATATAAGAAATAATGTATAGGGGTAATAGAGGAGAGGAGAATATATTCACATGCATTTATGTTCAAATTATTAAAAAAAGGTGGGAAACCTGAAGCTCTCCAGGTGAAGAACTAACACTCCTAGCAGCCAAGTTAGTATTTCCAATAGTGAGAAATGCTGGAAACTGTAGTTCAGTAGCAAATAAAGGACTGCAGATAAATGTGTTTGTGGGTGGAGACTTAAGTGATACAGGGAGAAAGCATTTTATCCTGAATACAGAAAGTACATCCTTCTTAGGGAAAGAGTTTTGGAAATATGTGGTTTAAATAATCCTATACAGCACATCTCCATGTGGGTTGTGTTGTACTTCAGTACTCTGTGTGCGTGTTGCAATGAATCAGCTAGTCAAGAAGCACTATCAATGCCTGCACATGGAAGTAGGTAGGTGGGTGGGGTTAGAGGAGAAGCCAGACCAGACACAAAAAAAACCCCAGATAATTCAACTGCTAAACTGCAAGGGGCTACGCCTTACTTGGGTGTGGTTCAATTCAGCAAGGGCAACTTCATCAGACTTCAAGGATAAGAGAATTTCCCTCCCCCAATTTTTTCCCCCAAAATTGAAGGTACTTGAAAGCAGTTATCAATTTTCACAACCAATTTTCATCCATCTTTATTTCAGAAATTTTGATGCGTCAAAATGGACAAAGAGATGATCTCTTAAGTAATGGAGCTCTCTTAAAAACTGTTTCCAGCCTAAGAACTTTGTGTTCCTATATTTAATATTATATGATTCCTAAAGGGGTTTACATTTTATGCTTCCTAAAGGTGTCTACATACAAAATACAGTATTACAATATATTGAAACCAAGCATGAACTCATGAACTCTCTTTGGATGAGACAGTGACATTTTACTCACTATGGAGTCTTATGAATGTGTGGCATCACAGATATATGCGTTTTTCTAATACAGAGACAACAGGATATATGTTCATAAGCAAATATGAATTTATAAGGATACTGTGAAGTAGGCCACATTTTTCTAATCTTGTGCCTCCTGGATGAATTAAACTTCAGCTTCCCAGCTAGCAAGATTTTTAGTCCTAAGGATTATAGGACTTGAAGGTCAACTCATTTAAAATGGCCAGATTGGGGAAGACGAGTTGGGCTAATATTTTTTTTCCCCTCTCTCTCTAGAGTGTATACAGATATACAACCTACTCATGTATAGATCCGTATCCCTGCCCCCATATAGAGCTCAGGAGACTTCTTTAGGTCCTTAGCAAAAGCTGGATATGCATGGAACTGAATTGTCCAACTCTTGTGTCAGTTAAAAAGCCAGTTCCAACCTTACCTAAGTAATTTTTACAATATAAAAATTAAATAGAATTATCCCCATGAAACAGTAAAACTAAAGTATGAACAGAAAAAAAACCATAGAAACAAGACAATTCTCCTGCCTTAAACTTTGAGGAAAGGCAATTGAATCCTGATACTATATTTGTGCTTCTTATTTTACACTGTAGCAGAAAAAATGTAAACTGCAGAAACCCTTTAAGACAGGCCACATATTTCTATTTACAAATAGGGAATTAAGAATAATCATTTGCCCAAGTTTAAGAGTCTATAAGAGTGATGGAACATGAGTTGCATTCTCTCCCTTCATGGATCTTTATGTGAGTTCAGTCACTGTCTTTAATACTAGCTAACACCATCATATATTGCAGGGCTCCAAGGAATGTTATTTGGCCCAACATTCCAGGTTGTAGTACCTGCCAAAAGCTTACATATTCCCTAGCTTATCTAATTTTCTTATTTTGGCATCAGTGAGGCCCTGAGCATAACTTCTTACTGGATTCTAAAACGTCGCTGAGGAGATTGGGTGAGATTGTACAGGTACCTGTTTTGTCTACATTCCATCTTAGCTCACTTCCTGCTCAGAGCAGTGGTAACTCTGTGTCCAGGAAAGCAGTTCTAGTACCCAAAAATATCCGTGGATGACAGGAATGTTAGAGCTGAGGTGGTATTATTAGAACAGTGCTTAGCATGGTATTCAGAGCAGAGTATGCTTTCTAGAAAGCTTCGTGCCATGTGCAGTTGGATGATAAAGATGTCTACTCTGAACAAAATATTATTTATGGCATAATATAATAAATATAGTTAGCAATACATTTCTGAGTTGAATTGTGCACACAGTCCATTTGGTGAGATAAATCTGTACTGTTGAATATATTACAATACATAGAAAACTGACAGAAGTGGAAGGCAAAACTCAACATTACAGAAAAAATGCCTATCTAATTGCTGGTCAGTAGGGATAATCTTGCAAAAATGTCATGCCTGTCTAGACAGTTTTTATATTCATAGATCTGAGTATCACTTGTTATTTCTGGGCTCCTTTCTAACATGGGAGGTAATAGAGAATAGATAGATTTAATCTATCATCTAGGGAAATAAGAGAAATGTATTCTTACCCTTCCCATTAAAAGGTGTCCCAGGCCATTGAAATAATTATTTCTCTAATATCTGTAATTGGCACTCTTATAGGAAGTCAGGGACTTGGTTTAAGTAGATGATACTTTATTGCAGACACAACTTAGCTATGGCAAAGGTTAAGAATCTGGTTCAATATAGATGTACTCCCCCAGGTTTAAATCCTGAGTTTTTTTCTCCCAGTCTATTTCTCATGCTGGATGATTGGTTGCACCTGGCCTGTATTTACAAAACAGTCCTCTCTGGTCCCAGGCTCCTTTCCAAGGCCAGTCCTCATACCAGCTACAGTATGTTTCAAAGCTACAATGCTTCAAACAATATTGTGTGTCTGGGTTAAAATAACCTTGTGACATTAGTAACCATCTCCCTTCTTCCTTCCACATCTACTTGCATGTTTATAAATCTAGTGCTATGAGCTTAGATGGAAGTGCTGAGCTTTTTCAAATGGTTTTTAACAATCAGGCAGTATCACCTAAGATTGTTTGAAAGGATTCTGATTAAAGCTATCATAATAATTAAACCCGAAGCAGCAATAATATTTATATAAAACCAAAGGCTTCAGGTCCTCTTCCCGTTATCTGAAAAATAAACAGATTGGACAGGTTGATTAATAAAACAATTATCCAGCTGCACTCCTGTCTGGCCTTAGACCTGGAGTAGAAACAACCTTGATTGCCCTGATTAGTATAGGTATGGCTTGACTCATGACTTGTTCTCCCACACTCTATGATTAACTGACAGCAAAACCTATCATGGTTAGATAAAAGCTTTACTGCAAACTAGAAGAAACCCTGTTTACTATAGAATACAAGAATAAGTTCTTTTGTGATAATAGACTCTTCACTGCTCTTTTCACATATTGGAATGTGGAGGGCTCCTCCACTGTGTTTACATAATAGTTTTTCCTGCTTTTTCCTGCTTTGCCAGCTTCAGCCCTCATATCAGCTCTGCATTTTCTTCTTCCCCTCTTTTCTTGGACCTGGTGGTGCCAGGAGCATCTCCTTGAGTCCACCCACTAGACATGGGAAAGAAGAACTTGTGTCCTTTCCATTTCTATATTTTGAAAGCAGGAGCTGGCAGAGTCCCCCCTCCCCCCACTTTCAAATATCTTACCCTTCTCTTCTCCTACCTGGAGATTTCAAGAGGGAGAATTTTCTTTCCTGTTTGGTTGAAATCAGAGACATTTCCCTCTTTCCAGATTTTCTCCCCCACCTATTCCTAACACCGGACCATTGGAAGTGAGGAAATGTCCCTCTCTTCACTTTCTTCATTTGCAACTCTCCCCAGTCACAAACTCTCTCAGTTTCAGGTAGGTAATTTCTATTTCTTATTTGTCATACAACTAGTTCCCTCCCCTTCCTAAGTCATTACCCCTCCTCTTTAGAATCAGAACTGTCAGCAGGTGCCTGATCCAAAATACAAAGCCAGTCAGGTGTTTTGGGCTTGTGAGGGTATGGCAAATGGAACTGTCAAAGGAGGTGGAGTATATAAATGACAGCTGGTATTTTGCATGATTTCTCAAGTGTGGTTTCCCTTATAATCAATCACATATTCCAATTTGCCCCTTCTATGCTGAAAGTCCAAAATAAGGTCCACCTCCCTCCCCACTGTGATGAAGGTGGTGGTAGGACAGAGGCTTACAAGGGGTACATTTTGAGTTTGGCTGGCAGTTGCAGATGAAAGATATCAGTACTGAACTGTGCAAATACTGGAAATAGTGCAGTGAACTTGACATCAAACTTCTTAGATGCCAAATGGAGGGGCGAAATCTGATAGAAAGCTGGATGTGGTTTCCACAGCAATGTAAGGGATTTTCTGGCAATGATAATCAGTGGAGAGCTTGTAGAAGAACTTAATATGAGCCAGTTCTTGCAGT